TCATAAATCTGACACCAGTCAGGGAGAGAGAAAAGCATTGCAAGCCCGAAAGGAAAGCAGAGCACACTGAGGGTGCTGCAGATTCTTGCTCTCTCGAAGATGTTTCATCAGTATGTCTTTGAGCTCTCTCCCTGGACTCAGGAGTTGTTGGATTTAGCTCAGCGCTTGATCTTTGTTTGAAGCTAGTTTTATTATTATTATTTATTTTTTTTTAAAAAGCGAGCTTACTCGCCCGGTGTGTTTTCCAAGCTTTCACAGCTCTAATAAATAAGGAGCACCTGTAAAACAGTAGCTTGACTTAAGTGAATCTGTACAAAGGAAAATATAGAAATACAGTATATACATAGTGCTCATAGTGCACCATCACTACAAGGCTGTGGTTCAACTGGCTCAGCTACCCTGCTCCCAACACCACTGACACTGTCAGAGACACTGCTCCTCCAGACTGCTCCTCACTTCCCCGCAGCAGCCTTATAGAAAAGGTGTGCTCTGAACACTCGAGAGTGAACAATTGCTTTATTAGAGTTAGTAAACAGATACACTGAATCACAAGGTGATCTGAAATTTTTTTAAAGTTTTTTTTTGTTTTTTATTTTTTGTGGGGTTTTTGGCTTTTTTTTTCTTTTCTTTTCTTTTTTTTTTTTTCTTTTTCTTTTTTTCGTATTTGTCAGAATGGGATACTCCACGACTCTCTTACCAATTCAGTGCCAGTATAACATGCTCTAGTGTACTTTTGGACTCTTGGCTACAACTGTACAAGTGCACACAAGTAAATTCTACCCTGTTATCCTCCACCCACTGATTGAGGATCGAATTGCACATTTCTCTTAACCATGACAGGAGAAAGCAAACAGTGAAACAGAATCATGGGGGATCTTTCTCACTTTACCCTTGTTTTCATTGGTTTGTCCATACCATTCTAATTATCATGAAAGGGCTATGCATATGGAGAGATTGTCTCACTGCCTTCCTGGATCACTGAAAACCATCAGGGTTGAAATTTCATCCAAGTCTTTCGTGACGCCCAGCAAATATTCCCCTCAGATTATTTTACACCTTGAGGGAATTTTGGTCTTTAGTTCAACACTCTTGCTCTGTTCCCAAATGGGGCGCTATTTAGGGGAATTTAAAGAGAAAGCTGAGAAGAATAAACATTTACCGAGTTCTCTTGGCATTCAGTCTCTGAAAAACCACAGTATAAACTATTCATGCTGCTTCTTACATCTGTCAAATCAAAAATTAAAAGCCATAAAAGTGTAACACTGAAAATATGGCATTAGAAAGGATAAAGGTGGCCTTTGTAAAAATAACAAGGAAAGTATATTAGCCAATAAAATATTCTAACTCTTCATTTAAAAGTGCATCATGGGTAGGACAGAGATGACTCTGAAGTCTTGCCACTCCAGTATTACCCCTTTCCCCCATCAAAACTTGAATAGGTCCAAAACCATACAATGCAAATCACGATCCTTAGTGTAGCAGCAAAACCACAGCAGTTTTTTGAAGGAAAAAAAAATGTTAAAAAAAAATCCATATCATTGTCCAGTCTTAAATATCTGAACTTTGAAGTCAGAGAGGGAAAAGTACCTATGTTGGTCCGTGTGGTTTTTGAAACCAGGGTGAAAAATCCCCCACAGCAAGAAACCAAGAGGAAAAAGTGTTCCTTGGAGGAGAAGAGGGGTGGTTGCACACTGTGTGGGTCCATGATGTGCTGTCTTCTGGGTCAAAGGCACCCGTGGGACCGAGGCTTTCTCGGAGGGGCTTCGTGACAGGAAGCTGCTTTCTTTGCTGGACGTTCAGCCAGAGGGGGTGGTGAGCGGACCAGCTGGTGTCATTCGGTGGAGTGATGTGGTTTGCTCTGCTCCCTTTCTCCATGCAAGGTACCCTGTTGGCGAGCGCTCCTGCAAAGCAGAGAAGCAGAGGTGGTCAGGGAGAGTGGCGGGAGACTCACGGCAGGCGGGCTGGGCACCGCCTGAGTTTGCATGTGGCCTCAGGCTGGGTGGGCAGCTGGGCAGAGACACAAGCCCACCGCTTCGGCCTCGGCTGCCCCTCGTGCCGCAAGGGCTGTCGGTACACACAGCCTCTGAGGTTGCTGGAAAGGAAGATGGAGGAATTCCTGCGATAAAAAGCTGGAAACTGATATAATAATAGTTCATTCTCTGGGTTTCATAGAGCGTCTTTCATCCTACAAGAGCATGGGTGAATAATGATACCTTGCAATTATACAGTAACTTTCACCCCTTGATCTCAGTGTGCTTTACAGAGCTGGGATGTACCACTCTCTGCACAGCACAGGCGGTAAATTGGAGTCAGAGAAGAAGAAGCATTTGGACCAGGACCTCCCAGCACTTGGGATGGGAACAGGGAACACTGCACGTGCCAGGGCTCCCCAGAGACACCTCACTGCACGGGCTGGTGTACAGCTCCACCGGGCTCATCAATCTCCCAGGCAAACTGGGACAGTATACCCAGACAGCTCCATTCTCACATAAATATGCATCTCCCACTAACAGAGCTAACTCTGTAGGTACTATCTGTGCTAAGCATGCAAAATGAAGACGCCCCTCTTGGCCCTTCCCCAAATCCGTAGTCGTACAAAGGAGAGATGTATGCTTAACACAACAAAACCGAGATGCAATGAGGAAGGTCTGGCTGGAGTTCCCCACAACCTCCTTGGTCCTCTCTTGGGATGGTCTGCAACCAGTCTTGTACCACGACCATAGCAGCTACAGCACCAGGGGGTCACAACCAGCAGCACATGGTGACTGACACTGCCTAGCATGACAAACAGAATTCAAATAAAGGCATTTTAGGACCCAAAGTAGAACTAGGCATTGCTCTCATTGAGATAAACTGCTACCACGATCTGGTATTTTCAGTGTTGAACGCATACATTTCCACAGACCATGTATGAGATGAGGACAAAATCCTCCGGATCCTGCTACAGCAGATCACAGAATTAGGCAAAGAATTTAACTTTCCAGTTGTTCCCTCTTTCTGTCCTGGTCCTCATTTCCAGGTCAATTTTTCTTTTGTTATCTGACCAGATGTACTGACTGCTTTTGTCTTCTTTCTTTTCTAATTTTTTAGGACACAAAAGGAATGCATCCCACAGGACTTTTTCAGAAAACCCCTTCTGAAGCCCACTGGTGCTTTGATTGAGGGAACAAAACTGGAGTAAACACAGATTTATTGATTTGAGGCCTTCAGAAAGCTGCATGATAGCTTCCCTAAGATAAGGTTAGCTTTGCCAGCAGTGAAGGCCAAGGTCACAAAAATCTTTGGAATCACCATTTTGAAAACCCAAGTTACCTTCTCATCAATGTAACACAACATTAACAACACCCCAGTGGTTATAAGCTCCTGATGCTTTAGCTTAGCTAGAGGCTACTGGATGATACACCATAGCCTCATGTGCTTCTGCTTCCCTTGTCAGTTGACCACATAGACTGTCCAGCAGGGACTGCCCTCTCTCTATGCAGCATGCTTCGGACTCTTCCTTCTTGGATGGGATCTGCTGTCCCCTACAGATTCAGACTGAAACTCTGAAGTACTTATTGGCCTTAATTTTGGTGCTGGGTCACATTTTCCTTCTCAGCCTGCTCCACAATCTCCCCTTCACACTGGCTCCTCTGTGATCCCTCTTGTCGCTGTGCTCGTGTGTCCCTGCCAAACCTCCACCCTTCTCAAAGCAGAGACTGGAAGGCACATTGAATACCTTGACCAGCACAAACTCACAGAGCACGGATACCACTATATCTAGATTAAGGAGTGACATCTGGGCTTTCAGGCAATGTGCCCAGCAGGATGAGCAGATTTGTGTGTACAGATTGCTGTGGACAAGAACTAGACTGAAAACTGGTATGTATGCTCCTACTAAGTACTCCCCATAAAGCACATGACTGCTTCCTGTCACTTTTTGGCTTGAAATCTTGCTCTGAGATTAAAATGGGAAGCAGAGAAAACAAAAACTGTAACGTCTGCATGAAACTTTACTCTGCACTTCAGGTATTTTGCCTGCTCCTCTCTTTCCATATATCAATGGAAATGAATTTCCATCCCTCACTAATCAGTCTCAAATGGCATGGCATAGCATAGACTGATAAGTGATTTGAGAGGGAGAGCATAAAGAAGGTCCCTATCTCTCAATGCTTTCTGCCTGGAGCAGCCAGCTAACTTTGTAAGTCCTGTCTATTTTCCCCTACTGCAGATAGACCCAGTGTAACAGACTGCAGACTGGAGAGAAGGACCTTCCCTGTTGACTGGCTCACGTGGCAGTCATTGCATTTGATGAATGCATCTTTGTAGCGATCAAGTGACAGAATAAAAAATCCTATCAGGCATAGCACGCAAAGTTTTATGAAGAAATAACGCACTAGTCATCACCACTTCACAGTTAGACATTATACACCTTGTGCCAACACCAGCCCGCATGACCAGCACAATAAAGTCAGCTATTTATATCTTCGCAAAAAACCAATTTACTTTTTAGGGGAGCGACATATGCTCCTCACCCCAGCTGAACTTGCCCTCAACACACATCAAATATTGCTGATCAGATAGAAAAAATGCATCAGCCACAAAAGAAGAATTTTTGGAAGCATAAAGCCATGGAGTTGAGCTTATGTGAGTTGCACTGAGGTGAGCAGGCTGGGTTTTGCCAGCTTTCCAAAGCTAAGCAGGTGTGGACTGATCCTGGGATGGAAGACCACCTAGAAGTCAGAGGCAGGCTGTGGTTCCAATCCCAAGAGGCAGCATGGAAAAGATGACAGAAAGAGAACAAGTAGGAAGGCTCATTTCTGCCCCAGTGTCAATGCAGTGGGGCAAAAGGAGAGTAACTCAACTGGATGATGACCCTGCTCAGGCAGATGACTTGGAGGTTCACTTATGCGGGCTCAGATAGTGACAGTGCTCCTCTGAACAGCAGGTGAGAGATGCACTGTTGCCCTCTGTGGCTGTTAAGTCACAGCCTGAGCAACGTGCAGCTATGGAACAGGCTGCACCAGTGCAGAGCTCCCTCTTTGGTTTCTGCCCTGACATGTGAGGATTTAAATTCTTGCTCAAAACAACACAGTTAGAGCTTGGCAGAACAATTGACAGCTTGGGCAAAGCCTCCCCAGCAAGCTTCCCTCCTGCCCTTCTTCAGCTAGCCATCTCTTTCCAGGTGCTGCTGCACACCTGCAGCCCTTTGTCCTGCACAGCCCCTGGGACTGGTGCAGTGGGAAGCTTGGCCCTGCTTGGTAGAGCCAATTGCTGGGTGTGCTCCTTGTCCCACTCCTCCATGCCTCCATGCCAAGGAGCTAGGTAGCCCAGCAGCAAGGGCATTGCCTTCTCCTGCTCCCCCATTCCCAAGCACAGATCCCTGCATGCCCACTCCCAGCATTGCCCCGTGAACCAAGCATTGTAGCACTGGCAGCATAGTCCTGCTGGCAATGATAGGTGCCAGAAGTAGCTGCTTCTACCCAGTGCCCTTCCCAGCCATGTCCTGCCTCTTCAGAGGGGACATGGCTTTGGACACACACACACAGGCAGACACACACGGTTTTTTCCATGGTTGCTTCCCCCTCATTCTGTGCTCCATTGAACATTTCTGTCTCCAGATTCACATCTTATTGTTCAGAAAAAATTTAGAGACTGGGTGGGGAGGGCTGAAGCAACTGTTGATGTGGGCTGGCATGGCAGTTTCCATCATTTAGCACAACACTTAATTCACCCGGACAATGAATGCTGATGTGCTAAAAGAAGCCTAGTTCATCTGGGACATGCATGGCAATAGAATGAAGGCACTGAAATTATTTTCTCAGGGAAACTGCTCTGAAGATAAACCACAAGAGTGCAGCTAAAGTCAGCATGAGAGCAAGCTCAGCCCTGGAAACACTCTGGAATCATCTGCTACTTGTAATAGTTCTGTAATTTTTTTTCTTTTTCTTTTTTTTTCTTTAGCAATTCTTAAAGCAGTTCAAGCTTCTTCATTAAAACCTTCCCCTTTGAATACTTGATGATTTACCTCTCCATGAATTGACTGAAGGGATGCCACATTGCAAGAGTCAGGGGAGGCCTTTAGCATGAATGGGATAACAAGCAGGGTCCTTAAGCACCATCCCTTGATTTCAAAGGTGGTGTTTTCCTTCTGCTCTGGTCTTGTAAGCCATGGATCCTTCTCAGCTTTGGGTCAGATATGCAACTCGGGCTCTCCTGCCTACTGAAATGCGAGCTATAATCTGAGCACGTTGTGACTTCAAGGAATGCATTGGGGAAGAGGTGTGGGATTTGCCCTCCTTTTATGCCTAGGCAGAAGAAGTGGTAGGGACAGCTCAGTCACCCCCAACTCTGTGACTGAATTGTTGCAGGGGTGCACCAGGGGCCGTGCTTGCAATCATATCCAGTTGCCTTGTAGTCAGGAAATGACCTTGAGGAAGAAACATGAACTGGAAAAGCAGAAGGTCTGTTGTGTGCTGACTCCTGCTTCCCTGCATCTATTCCTAGAAAGGCCTTTGGGGAAATTTTGCTGGTTTACATTTGTGTTCAGCCCCTTGCTGGTACATTTAGTACTGTCTCTCACTAAACTCATTCCGTGTATGTTAAATTGAACCCTGAAACTAGCTAAGAAAGTTAGGAACAGGGATGTATGTCATCATGCCCTTGTTATGTAGCAAGGAAATGGAGGAAATACAGTTCCAAGCTCTCCCCAAAATAGGAGTACAGTCTTGGCCTGGGTAAACATGCAGCTCTTCTTCATAGCTCATGGAAGTAGGAATCCCTAAATTCATCAGAGAGCAGCCACATACTTGGGGAGAATGGCCTGGGCTGCTGTAAATCCTCCCTTGTACCACAAAGCAGCAATGCAACTTTGCCATGAAACCTGCTCTGCACAGACCCCGGGGACACGGCACCTACTCTC